AAGAAAGACCACAACACGTAGTTTTGAGACTAAAAGACGTAGATTTCACACACACACACACAAATCAGGATGAATGAGGATGCATATTCGTTTGACATCAATGTTCTTCCATTTTCTTCAGTTTGTCTGTATTTTTGTTAACAAACATGATCATAAAAAATGTTCATTGTGGTAAACGAAATAATAATTTGATGTAAGTAAAAAGTTTTTTTTTTCTTCCCGATTTATAAAACAATCCTTACGTGATAGACAAAAAAATGAATATTATTTTTCGAAATCTGCGTAGCTGAATTATGGAAAAACCCGTTATTAAAACAGAAAAAAAACAACACTTTTATGAAGTTTAAATTCACAGGCGTGTGTAATCATTTACATGGGACCATTTCAACTTAATTTCTCTAGTCACATCTGTAAATACCATCATGTGCAGAATGAAATTGAGATTTTTTTCCCCCCTTCAATCTAGAGAAACGTTTTATATAGAGAGAGATGAGACGTGTGTTATTATGTTGTTGAAAGCACTCGGTATTCTGTCGTGTATTCATGTAAGTTAACCATTTGTTATAATGAAAAGCTGCACGAAAGGTAAACCATGGTACGTGACCCGTTTCCTTCGTTCTCTTTCTCTTTTTTTTTTTTCTCATTTACTCTGATTTTTCCATGAAACGAGAACATTAATATAAAGATCAGTAGTAGTGAAAGCATACCATACGTACAATAGAATGGAGACGAACATGCGAACAAATAGCTATAGACAAGTAGATAGGTTTTTACAATCTTACTGAAAAATTAAATGTATAATTATCTGAATTCAATGAGAGTATTGGTAATTTCAACCTGAACGTCACCATATTTGACACATTAGTTTAAGGGCCAGGTCAGAAACCCCCCATGGTTCAGGCATGGTCACTTCTAATTTAGAAATGCTGACCAGATGGAGGGCAAATACTTATCAGCGTCCTTCGGAATTAACTGTCAAAATTATAATGTGGCTATTCTTCACCGAATATCGAGATTAACTGTCAGAATTATAATGTTCCCGATATTCGGTTAATAATAGCCCCCGATATTCGGTTAAGAATAGCCACATTATAATTCTGACAGTTAATCCCGATATTCGGTTAATAATAGCCACATTATAATTCTGACAGTTAAATTAACTGTCAGAATTATAATACCCCATAAATAAAAGCATGGAGCATGTTCAAAGGCATACCACCACTCTAATCTTGGAACTTCCGATCCTCAACCCAACATGCCAACCACTAGGCAACATTCATCCTTTTGTCAACCACTAGGCAACATTCACCCTTTCTCAACAAAGAGAAAATCGTGTTTGACGACAAATGTTTTGACTATCACTTTATTCATTTCAAATACGTCATCTAGGTTACTGACGTCTAACGTGTTTAAGGACACTTGTACATCACTGAAGTTCCAGGTTTAGAAGCTAACTTAGCTTGACATTTCAGTTTTTTGAACATTCGCCCTTTTTTGTGTCCTCAATTTTGCGTTTTTATTGTCCTTCTGGTTTTAAAGTTAGCATTAAAAAAAAACAATCCTTTCATTCTACAAAGTTTTGTTAGTTTTCTCTTTTTTAATTTGTTATTTTTTGATTCTTCTTATATCCTTCCTCTTTAGGATTAGAATTTTATATTTACTGTCTTGTAATATATTCTAACTCTATTTATCAATCTTTAACGTAGTACGTTTCTCTCATTTATATTGTTTTCTGCCTGTCTTCTTTTTTCTATTTGTATGTTTTTTCCACTCCAAAGAAAACTACTCACATTTTTTGCCATATACATTGTCCACTATTTTGTTTTATTTCTCATATTTTTTTTTGTATTTGCTTTTTATCTCTGTCTCTTATTGCTCTTTGAGTCGATAAAAGTAAGTTTTACAACGTTAACAAAAGGGAAAAGGCGTCATGATGTCGAATTCTTGGAAAACTTTTGGTTAAAAAATATGTAAATTTTCTTATTTCTGTTATAGTCTGAGTAGGGTAGATGTGGGTCTGCGTGCATGGTATCTGGAACCTGTATATGTGTATTTTCTGTTTAATGTCGCTGTTCTCTTGTCTGTACATCCGTATGTTCTGTTTAAATCGCTGTTCTCTTGTCTATACACCCGTATGTTCTGTTTAAATCGCTCTTCTCTTGTCTGTACATCCGTATGTTCTGTTTAAATCGCTGTTCTCTTGTCTATACACCCGTATGTTCTGTTTAAATCGCTGTTCTCTTGTCTGTACATTCGTATTTTCTGTTTAATGTCGCTGTTCTCTTGTCTGTACATCCGTATGTTCTGTTTAAATCGCTGTTCTCTTGCTTCTACATCTGTATGTTCTGTTTAAATCGCTGTTTTCTTGTATATACATCAGTATTTTTGTTTAATGTCGCTATTCTCTTGTCTGTACATCCGTATGTTCTGTTTAAATCGCTCTTTCTCTTGTCTGTACATCCGTATGTTCTGTTTAAATCGCTGTTTTCTTGTCTATACGTCAGTATTTTTGTTTAATGTCGCTATTCTCTTGTCTGTACATCCGTATGTTCTGTTTAAATTGCTCTTTCTCTTGTCTGTACATCTGTATGTTCTGTTTAAATCGCTGTTCTCTTGCTTGTACATCCGTATGTTCTGTTTAAATCGCTGTTTTCTTGTATATACATCAGTATTTTTGGTAATTAACCTCTATACTAGTTATGGATAACACACTAGTAATTAACCTCTATACTAGTTATGGATAACACACTAGTAATTAACCTCTATACTAGTTATGGATAACAGATGTACAGACAAGAGAACAGCGATTTAAACAGAACATACGGATGTACAGACAAGATAACAGCGATTTAAACAGAACACACGGATGTACAAGCAAGAGAACAGCGATTTAAACAGAACATACGGATGTACAGACAAGAGAACAGCGATTTAAACAGAACATACGGATGTACAGACAAGAGAACTTAGTAATTAACCTCTATACTAGTTATGGATAACACACTAGTGATTAACCTCTATACTAGTTATGGATAACACACTACCCTCATCTAATGGAACCTGAGCTGTCTAAAATAACCAAAGTCGTCTACAATCAAGAAATGGAAACGGTCTCGAAATCTGTTGTAAAACACAATTAATGTATGTCAGCATTAAAATGGTCCTGGGGACCCGTGTGTATCTGACAACAGTGAGAAAAGCACAAGACAACAGCTAGTTCAGCCGTGTCTATCTACGGTACAAATAATGTCAGTTGATTGGTCCATCAGATTTCAAACTTCGCTCGTTGGAGATCTCTTCTCCCCCAGTAGCCTCTCATCTGAGATATGAGGGTTGAGTTTTTTTAAGATCTTTCAATTATCCTTACGTAATGACTCCCACTAAAATGAAAGTGTTTATTTCTTGGACGGGTGGAGGGGTTGTCAAACTGTGTAACTTGAACCGAAGTTAGTATCTCCAATCAGGTGAGACCTAGCGATGGGTTTAGTGATAGTTTGAAAAAATCATCAGACAAATTGTGAAAGGGAACTTGAGATAATTTCGATTTTTTTTTTTATATGAATAAATAAACACTTCTTAAAGACAAAAAAAAAACGTATTTATTTTTGTATTTAACAACACTTGACCCCCATTCTTATACACCCATTCTTCTCTAAATAACTCTTTTTCACCACCACCCCTTCCGCCCCGAATAAAAAAATCCTAAAGACGCCACTGCTTCAAGTTATAATCTTTCAAGTAAATACATTAACTATTTGAGGTGCATGGTTCCTGAGAACCTTTAATAAACACGCGTGTTACATAAAGGGGCTAGCTTACTTCTGTTACAGTTGGATAGTTTTTTTGACGTTCTGGAATGACAATCATTGTCGTAATTAAAATGTACTTTTAATTGCAAGCATTCAGTACAAGTTAGATAACTTACAAGCGTGACTAAAATAACGATATTTGGCGTTTCAATATTTCGTGTTTCGAGAGCATAAAAAAAACAAACTAATTTAGACACTATGCCAGCCAGAAGCGAAATGGAAAAATAGCGAACCAACTTTTGTTGCTGACCAGAATTACAAGAAACTCTAACTTTGCTGTTTAAAGTTCAGGTGCAACAAGAATTACGGGAAGCATCATAAAATTCCAACCTTTCTATCCCAAGAGAAATTGGGGTTTCGTATCAGATGGCCTAAATGATTCAATAAAACTCTCAGTCACGACATCAAAAGGAAACGTAATAACCCTTTCCGGTTGTCATAGCAACACCGGAGCTAGATAGCAAGTAGAAGCAACATGTGATGTGTGCGTGTATAAAGTAAAATGTTTCATATTGTTATTAAACTCTTTTCATTTTCTCAGAATTTGTCTCGATGTCGATCTTACGAATACACCTAGACGTGAAACAGTATTTAGGATTATAATGTATTTATTACTTTTATCTCTTATGACCTTAAAATATATTATGCTTAATCCCTTTAAATAGCAGTTAGACACCTATCTTGAACCTTAATTTCTTTTGGGGGCTAATCCCCCTTTTATCCCGCCAGTGCGCAACTTATTGATGGTTTAGGTGATCCGATTACCCAGCTACTTTGGTCATCGCGCTTTCTAAGACAGCTACGAGCTTTGTTTTTACTGTCTCTAACATGTACTATTTATTTTATTAATACCTTTCAATTCGTACGTGAACAGGCTGGTTCAAGCCTTACTTAGCTATTTATAATGTGCGCTGTTTATTCGATTAATATCTCCGTATTCATGCGTTTAGTTTCATTCGTCGTGATCAGTAACAAAGAACCGTGAATAAAGAAGAGAAAAAAAAAGGTCTTAAGAAAACAAGTCTTTTCTAAGTGTACAGATATCATGGACGCAGCTTATTGATATATACATTTTTTTTACTTCATATTATATATATATTGTGATATTCATTTATTTATTGTAGAAATAAACAAATGATGTAAGAATATGTTTGAAGTTAAACTGATGTTTGTCTGTCTCTCACTACACAGGACGTTCGGACAAAACACAAGTTTCTAGTACACACCTACACAAGTCCCACCTTTTGTGATCACTGTGGCTCCCTCCTGTATGGAATCATCCATCAGGGTTTGAAATGTAAAGGTAAGTTCGTAATATAACTTTAATTACAGCTAACCTTCAAATTATCGACTTTTTCTGTACCTTTCAATACCGGTGGAGTCCACATACTGCATCGTATTTGGTAACTTTTGTTTGTTTGTTTTGAATTTCGCGCAAAGCTACTACACGAGGGATATCTGCGCTAGACGTCCCTAATTTAGCAGTGTCAGACTAGAGGGAAGGTAGCTAGTAATCACCACCAACCGTCAAGTCTTGGGCTACTCTTTTACCAACGAATAGTGGGATTGACCGTCAAGTTATAACGCCCCCAC